CTTTTAACGGCTCAATACATTAATATAGGGGAAAGAGGGGCATAGTGAGCATCATGTGCTTTGGCAATGCGTTTCTAGCTACTCGAAGCAAATTAATTGGTAGTTGGGTTAATCTCATCGCTGAGTTCCTGTACTTTTGGCGATTATGAGTGAACTAAACTCAAATTTGGGTCGTTCTTATTCGCCGTGTAGTAACACAAATTAATCTGTAAATTTGGCAACTTTGGTGTCAGCTGCTGGATGCTCGATGCAGTTTCTCACGAATCACTCAGGAAAAGTGCATCAGAGTGAGATGTGGAGATGGATTTTGGTAAGATCCCGCGATGCCAGCAAAAGGCCTAGTAAAGTTACACAGCCAACCATGCAACACGGTAAGAAAAATGTACCCAACGGTCAGTTCACTTTTACCTACTTTTGACTAGTTTGTCTCCTTTTCGCCTTCTAATGTTGTCAAAAACGGAGGAGCAAAACCAACCAACAGGGGTAGTAAAGTGTGGAAATTCAACGTTGAGTATAATCATGTTTACCTACTTTTGGGTAGAAAGCTAGAATTCCATACGAATTGCTCACAAGTAAATGAAAACTACTTTGGCCCACTTTACCTACTTTTGGGTTCCTGCACTATAGTGCCGAGATTAGTGAAAAGAACATAAGTTTTTGGACTTTTTTCTTACCGTGCAGATTATTATGTTTTTCCTTGATTTGTTTTCCGTCGATCTTGTTTTCCGTGCTGAGGTGAAGAGGTGACAATACGGGGGCAAAAATGAACCACTTTTCTGTCAAACGTGAACCAGCTCCTGATTGGCCGATTTCATGTGCGTAAGATAGCGATAGAGATAGAAATAAAAGAGTAAGAAGCCAATTGTCACCTCTTCCTCTTAGGTGCTGAGCACCAATGCTACCGACGCCAGGGAGGCAGCTCTCACACCTGGACCTCACCTACCGACTCATCAACTCATTTTCCAGGGACCAACGGCTTTACTTCCCTTACGAAGGAAGGCGTGATCAAAGATTTTATGCCTCAGAAAATCCCGGCGCCGACTGAGATTGAACTCAGGCCTCTTGGGGTGAAATACGTTCACGCTTACCCCATTATAGTAAAAATTCCAGTACTACACTATGTTTGTTTTGATTCGGTATGAAATTTTAACAGGTAAAATGAGGGGTTCTTGGATTTTCCTATGTTTAGAGGGGTGAATCGATTAGCTTGGGACCGAAGATAGTACCAGAGCTGAGCCAAAAAGTTGACCACGTTTCTTCGGGACCTTCTCTACCGGTAATCGCAAGTCAGTCCCATCTGCATTTTTATCAATTTTGAGTTAGCATCATTATTCAGTTTATCTTTTTATGTTTTTTGAGATGTGCTATTGAAAAAAGGTTGTTTGTTCAAGAAAAATGAAAAACAATACCAAGTCAAGTTGTCCCTCAGCGAAAAGTAACCGCAAGTCAGTCCCATTAGAAAAAATATGTTAGAAATGTTAGACAACAAATCGCATCATGAGATTTGTGTCAAGACAGATTTGCCCACTTACCCTATGGTATCTGGAACATGTCCGGATGTGGCCAATATAGTTCTTACGATACTCAGCTTGACCGCCAATCGATATGGGGCTTTGAATTATCGTGTGATTTGATGCATCGCTTGATGGATTTTGATTTAAAACGGCTTTACCACTCCCCCGGGGATACCCGGACATGTCCGGGTGTGGCCAACATGGTGCTTTTCACTCATTATGACTCTTATTGATCTTATTTTTGAATTCTCATGTGTATTGATTTATCGCATGGTGGGTTTGGCACGTTTATGAAAAGCTCTGGTCTGATGAAGACCCATACTCACCGGAGTATGTTTCGGCCATTGCTCTGGAACCAGCGAAACAAATCCAGAAACATTCAATAACGTTCTATGGGACCCAGGTATCTTTCTATTGTTCAATACTATGCTAAACTAATGCAGCATCGTCATGGAATTGTGACTGACTTGCGGTTATTTTTCTCATTCACGTTAAATGTAATCACATGTCAGTCCCACTCAGATTTTGGCCATAAAATAAAAATTTTACGATATTTTTTCAATATTTTTGGGTAAACATAAATGCATTCTATCACATTGTACGTTTATTTTTAAATATATCCCTCCAACATAAGTGTCAAATCAGAAAACTTGAAAAATATTTAAACGCCGTTTTCTCATTTCCAGTTTTTTACAGATGGGACTGACTTGCGATTATGGGCAGTTCTGGTCTTAGAGTTACCACTATGGTAATAGCCCCCTGGTGTAAAGACTCAATCAAAATTCCGTAATTGAAATGTAGACTACGAAACTGGAAAATAACTATCATTATTCATTGGTTGAAGGCGGAATTATCTGCTTGTTGTTTTCGACATGATCGGCTGGACTCATAGCTGGATGTTCAATAGATTATCACTCAGGCACTGAGGCAAATGAACGAAAGAATTTCATAAGATTTATTTATTTATTTTAGCCACAATAAATTGGTATGACAAGCGGTGCCGGTGGTGTAGTGGTAAGCGTGATTACCTCTCACCCCAGCAGGCCTAGGTTCAATCCCAGTCGGCGCCGCCGGGATGTTCTGAGGCATGACATCTCTGATCACGCCTTCCTTCGGAAGGGAAGTAAAGCCGTTGGTCCCCGGTTCATGAGTTTTATGGGTCGATAGGTAAGGTCCAGGTGTAGTAGCTGCCTCCCTGGCATCGGTAGCATTGGTGCTCAGCACGGAAAACAAGATCGACGGAAAAAATCAAGGAAAAAAAAATCGGTATGAATTTCACTTATTTACCTTATGAAAAATAATGTTGACAAAAAATAATAAAACGGAGCAGACTGGAACCGAACCATGGACGGTCTGATTACGAGGCCCGTGTGAAAATGAAATGGTTAAAGGCGCATAAGAGCTACCTCATGTTAGGCAAAAATCATTCACAAGTCACGCTTATGAAATTCATATGTGTCGTTCTTAATTCGAGCCCTATGCACTTCTTAAGTTTATTTGCAACAGTGGGCTGTTCCAGAACCACCTGTGAACCTACGATCCACGAAACAACTGTGAAGAGAGGTGCCACCATAGAGGTAACTCTAAGACTAGAAGGTCCCGAAGAAACGAGCTCAACTTTTTGGCTCAGCTCTGGTACTTTCTTCGGTCCCAAGCTAATCGATTCACCCCTCGAAACATAGGAAAATCCACTAACCCCTCATTTTATCTGTCAAACTTTCATAGCGAATCAAAACAAACATTGTGTATTACTAGAATTTTGACTAGAATAAGGTACGTTAATTGTCTGCTTGGGACCAATAGGCTAGTCAAGTAGTGAGCCAATTTAAAATCGTTAGTTTCGTATTGATTGTTGGTGCCACCATGGAATAAAGGTGAATTCCGTTCTGAGCGATATTTCACGCGCGGGGCGAGATTTTGCGTTGGTACGAGAGAGAGAGAAAAGCACTAGTTCTCTCTCTCTCTCTCTCTCATGCCAACGCCAATTTTACTCCGTTCCGCTATATTGAAGAAAACAACTTTTGGTTTTTATGCATCATATTGGAAGATTACCGCAAAAGCTCAATGCAGATGTCGCCACTGAATGATGATGATAATGTTGACAGACTGCATATAAAATTCGTGAAAATTAGCATTAAATCATAATTTTCATCAAGCCTGCCGGAGATCCTTCCAATATAACATTCGAATTGAAGAAGAAGACGTTTTTACGATCAGACTGATGTGCATCTTTGACTTTTCCAGGTGAACTTTCATAAAATATATTCATTTCATTTCACGGCTCCATCAATGCTGCATCGTAAATATGATGGTAGACAGAAGCTCAATTACTCAAAATAAAGATGATTTGTCATCTTGTTATCACTTTGAAGACCATCTAGCACCATTTTATAGTATGGTGCGTGTTGAGTGACTCAAGTTCCGCTGCGTTTTCCGTTGAAAATTGTGAGTATCAATATGTTTGCTTAAAAAAGGCCAAAATGAACATTTATTGAATATTGGCGTCCTATACAACCAATTCTCTATTACCACCAGCACTTAATTTACACTTTCATCTTAGTGAAAATCGCACATATTTACCATTTTCTGAAAAAATGCAGCTGCGCTGGAGGTAACCTCTCCCTGTGGGTGCAAACTTGTTATGCATTATTTGCCATGAAAACATCTCCGATCCATACCGAAATAATAACAAATAGTTTTCAAACACGTTTTCTTACATGATTCAAGTAAAAGTTTCCACGGGAAATTATTAGTTTTTCTTTATGGACCGATTTGAACCAAAAAGCGTCTGTTTTACTTGGAAAATTTGGAAACTATCCTCCTTCTAGTAGTTCTCACTTCGAAATGTAGGAGGCGAAAGCTTGGAAAAGTTTCACTGCAAGACGCCAATGGAAGAGCTTTGTTTTATGAGCACAATGATATTAATTTTTTTCGAACCCACAGACTTTCATCTCGACATACGACCGAATCAAAGAGAACTCCAGCTTTAGATTTAGAGATTTAGATGTGTCGTCCCCCTTGAAAAATGCCCCGATAAAATTCTGATACCATGAATACCCGAAGTTTGACAGTCGACTCCCACCGGTTCGCTACAAACCAGTGTTGTCAGTTATTTTATGTAAGAATTAAATCATTATTTCAGTAGAATCTGATATACCCTTTTTTAAAGTTTATTCAGTTTATTTTTCAATTCTGTATACGAATTAAAAAAAAAACAACTTATGAAAATCAACTTATGATCTTAAAATTCGCCTCATTAATTGAAATTGATTATTTTCTTATCCTTGAATCTACAATAATTATTATTGTTGAAATTAAAATCTGACTACACTGGTACGAGTGGTATACGGTTTGTTTCAGCTTCGCGTTTTGTTTTCGTTTGCGTTCACTTTTTTGTCTCGGTTGTTGTTTACGCTTTTCGGCTTCTTCGTACAAAACAAAAACAAAAAAATAGTTGCCGCTTCGTGAGGAGTGAGAAGAGCTGCTGCTGCTGCTGCTGCAAGGAATCAAAAGAAGACTCTTCGGTTGTTTGTTGCTTTTGCTTCAGTCTTTTGAGATCCGTTAGTTCGTTCAGACGTTCGTTCCGTGTTTGTGGTGGTTTTTAATCGTTTCGGTGTTATCTCCCCGCTCGCGCGCGCAATATCTACCTACCTTCGCTCCGGTATCACATTCCTCCATTTCCGTCAGTGAGGTTGTTGGTTGTGTGCACCAAAAGCAGGCAAAAAAGGCACCAGTTCAACAGTTTTGTGCAATCGGTCGGTTTTTTTTTGCTCCTCTTCAACGCGGTTATTGCGCTGAGGAAAGCTTGAAAATTGGTATCAGAAAGCAAAAAAAAAAGGAAGCGATATAAAATCCTATCTGGCCCAATATATTCGTGTGAAGTAATATAAGCGTGTGTGTAATTTTTCAAAATCAGCGCTTTTGTTGATTATCACAAAAAAAAAACATTCTGATAGTGTTGGAAAAAGTGTTTTGCTGTTCTTCATTTCTCCGTTTTCGGTGTTTTCAAAATTCACGTTGCTTGTAAGCAATATTGAAAAGTAAGATTAGGTTTTAAGTTTTGACGGAAGAAATCGATCCTTTCTGCAAATAGTTTAGATAGAGTAGGACTTGCTTCGTAATCTCGAAGGAAAATTTGCCCTTGAACTTTCTTTTTTTTTTGTCGCGGTGCTATTCTCCATTGTATTAAATATATCGAGCGAAGCGCGAAGAAATCCACAAAAACAAGGCGCCCAGTCATCGTGTGGTTGTCCCCTTGCCCTGCTGTGTGCGGTGCGGTTGGTTCGAAGAGGTTCAAAGTTCGTCCGTCTTTTGTTCCAAATCAAAACATTGCGTGTGCCACGATAATGATGCTAGGCGACGGGCCAACATCAGAAAACCTGCTGCTTCTGGCGCACAGTGGTGGCACTGGTGGAAAAGCTCCGGACGAGGAAAAGTTCTCGTTGTTGCAGAAGCAGCTGGAGAAAAAACCTGAACTGGAAGAGAAGGGCATGGCAACATCAATCACGACTACGACGACGATGGAGGAGACGGCCGCGACGCCGACTAATGCCAACATCAACAACAACAATAGTCTTATTGATTCGCGAGGCTGTGCCAAGCCGAAGAAAAAGGTAAGAAGACTACTCTTGCTTTGCTTGATATCCGAACTTTTTCTTTCAACTCAACATGGGAAATAACGGCGAGACTGGAGGTCTTGGTGTTTCTGGTTGAATAGAGGGATCCATGTGGCGTATTGAAGCATGTAAAACGTTATGTTTACCCACTGTCTGGGATGGCAGAATGAAGATGTAATGATGGACAGAAGTTGTTACAACGAAGAGGGGTCGTGTACCCCGACAGTCACTTCACTTGCATATTGGATCTACTTCCATGATCCATTTCCACCGGAGTCATTCGGACATATCCATGGGAGCAACGTGGCTGTGTTATGGTCTTTTGGTATGACCACTAGGTAACAAAGTTCGATTTCAGCTAATAGCATCATTTTTAAAATTAGCGAATTTCAAATCGAGGATCTATGTAGGTATCCGATGAAGTGTTATTAGGCTTGTTCATCTCAGTTGTTTCCCATGTATTGTAGCCCATTGTTTTGCTAGTAATGTTATACTAAAAGATTTAACCCTAATGTGTGTGAGCATTTTCTTGCATTTTTCTACACCGTGCACACCGTCACGCACATAACGTTTAAAATTGGATGCATACGCGCTGAGATATCACTCAACATTTATTTATTCTAGATAAAAAAACAGAAAACTAATTTTGATTTTATATAGTCATACTAGGTCATCTTCATTATCTTCAATGATTTTTTCGCTGACAAAATTTCCACAATTAATACAGAGAATCAAGTGTGTCCACTCTCCCCTACAATTGAATGAGAATTCTTGACAACCAGTTCTGCGAATATTGTTTAATCTAGTAGATACATTTCAGCTCTCTCTAACTGTAGGTCATCTACGTCTTATTGGCAAACATTCTTCTTCCCCCCAGTAGTTGCCCCCTAGCGCGAGTTTAAGACACCATTCGACAAATGAAAGCAAATTACCGCACATGTTTTATTTGCTGCAGTAGAGTAGATCATTAAAAACTTTTTTTTTGCGCCTAGCAAGACGAATTCGCCAATCGCTCTGGCAGCAATGGTTGCGAGATAAAAGTGTCTGCGTGTGCACTTTCCCTTCTCACTCGCCGGGTGTATCTTATTGTTGAGGCCAATCTGTCTCTGCAGATCGTAGTGTAGGAAGGAAGGTACCTATGAAAGGCGAATCACTTTTGGCCCCCTCAGGGATTTCCCAGAGGTGGGCATGTCACTATATAGACGATGATCTCGCCACGTTCGGTGTGACGCTCTGTGATTAGTTTATGGCCTAGGGCGCGTGTGTGAATGGCTAAACGCGGTTCCATCACTTCCTCCTGCTTCAAGTGCAGTCGCCCCCCAAATGTAGTTCATTACCTCTTGATGCAAGCAGAGGGATTGTTCTAGCAAAAACATAGATATTTAAATCTATGCAAATGGCTTCTCTTTCCCTATCTATTTCTGTCAGGAACATTTGTTCGCATTGAATAACTTTCAGAGCCTGCACCGATGTCTACAACAACGAAACGTGACATCCACGGCGTATTGTCGCTGTGTGATATCACACTTCCTAGAGCTCATTTCGTTATCAGGAAAATTCAGATGCCGCCGCGAACGTTTCTACGAAGAGAAAGTGTTTATGACATTGTTGAAAATTTTATCACATCGTCGTCGTCGTCGACTCGCCGATGACGACTCGGTTATCTTATCAATTCGATACTACATCCGTACCTATACTCAGAGAGCTGATAGCACCCATCGAAGCGACGAATCGATCGATAATCATGCACATTTTATAGCCTTTTCAGAGCGTGAAACATGTTACGTCCTTCGACAGCGCTCGTGTGCGGAGTGCTGTACATTCGATGGAGCCTTCCGGTTGGTTGAATGATGAATGTCATATTCTGATACGTTATTCCTCAAAGCCGTCGTCATCGTCGGTCGATTGGTTCAAATTGGATGCAATTTGAAGCATTCGAAAAAGTACCCTGCAAAAAATGCAAATCGTTATGCTGCATTCGCTCACTTGCGCGCTCGGAAATTATTACCCCGACAGCAATAATGGCAAACACTTTTCCCTCAGTTATTTCCATGGGATTGTCTGTCTGTCGGTCTGTGCGGCCGGTAAATATCATCTCGTTTTTCTTATACCTGCTATCTCTGCAAGGGATTACGGAGCTTAGCTGCAAAAGTAAATATGCTTAATGCAGCCAATACGTGTGCATAACTTTTTGCAATGGATCACCATCATCATTATCATCCGCTGCCCGTAGGTGTGCGTTTATTTGTTTACATTTAATGTTTTATTGTTTTCGTTTTCGAATAATTGTGGATGCAAATGCAAGCGATATCACATCGCTAAGAGAGCCGCCGCGGCATTAGAGATAATTTGATAAGCTTAAAACGATGGTTGGGGATGATCAAGGGATTTTTTTTATCTTTTGCGGTTTGGCCTAGTGCTAGCCGATTCTACTCCTCATAAATCGATACCTCTTTCGATTTTCTATACACTAAGATTATTTTACCGAAATCTGTTAAATTTTACCGAAATCTCAACAGCTGAACGTTCGGTAAACAGTTCGATGATTTTTCACAGTTTTCCTGTAATTTTTCAACGAATATTTGTGAAAAATCACCGAAAGCATTCCAAAGTCCGTTGCAGCTTGTGAACATGATTCGAAGTCAGTCGAATTCATGGAACTATTCACAGAAGAAGTCGTAGTGCCTATCGAATGTTCTGATGAGAACGAAGTCAGCTCTGATGACGAAGAAAAATCAGCGAACAGCAGCTCAAGCACATCTTGTGACGATTTCGAAGATGCCTGCGTCGAACCTGCGCTCCCACCGCAACAAACAAGACCAGTTGAAGAAAGTCAACAAGGGTTAAGGCGCAGCGGTCGGGAGCGCGTATACCCAGGCAAGTATGATGATTTTGTTAGTTATGGTTCCTTTTCTGGTGATGATTTTCTCACCCAGCCATCTGATTCATCAACGATCAATGTTTACATGGAGAACGATCCACAATCCTACGACGAGGTCATGCGGCGACCTGATCGAAAGCTGTGGATACAAGCAATGAAGGAAGAAATCACATCGTTGGACCAGAATCAGACGTGGATGTTAACCGATCTACCTGAAGGACGTAAGGCAATCCGTAACAAGTGGGTTTTTTAAACTAAGCGTGGACCCGACGGCAACATACAGCGATACAAAGCGAGACTCATGGTGAAGGGTTGCTCGCAGAAACCAGGAATCGACTATGAAGATGTATATTCTCCGGTAGTACGTTATTCAACAATTCGCTACCTCATGGCACTAGCAGTGAAGTTTGATTTTGATGTGTCCCAGATGGATGTGGCCACTGCGTTCCTGCAGGGTGAGCTAGGCGATGAAGAATTGTACATGATGCAGCCGGAAGGATTCGATAAGGTCAACGGCAAGGTGTGCAGACTCAAGAAAGCGCTGTACGGCCTCAAGCAGTCGAGCCATGTATGGAACGGAAAACTGGATGGCGTATTGCGAGAATTCGGACTGCAACGATCACAAGTAGATACGTGCCTGTACTGGATCCTGGATGGTGACATTATGCTATTTGTGACGATATACGTAGATGACCTGCTGATATTTACAAACAACCTGGCGTTGAAGAAAAAACTGAAGAAGTTCCAAATGAAAGACTTGGGTGAAGCTTCACACTGCCTGGGAATTCGAATTGTCAGAGATCGAGTGCAAGGACATCTTTCGTTGGACCAACAATCATATATTCAAGAGATAATCCAGCGCTTTGGGATGACGGACGCTACTCCTGTAGCAACACCAGCAGATCCAAGTCTGAGACTCGATAAATCGATGTCTCCCAAAACGGCTGAGGAGGCACCACAGATGTCAAGAGTACCCTTCAAGGAAGCAGTTGGCTATTTGTCATATGTAGCGCAAACTAGTCGACCAGATATTGCGTACGCTGTGAATGCTGTGAGTCAATTCGACTGTGGTAGACAACATTGGGAAGCAACCAAGCGTATAATACGATACCTGAAGGGAACAGCGCAGAAAAGGTTGCTGTACTCTAAGGACGATACTGGAGGCCTTCAAGGGTATAGCGATGCCGATTGGGGAGGAGATCCTGATGACAGAAGATCGACAACAGGTTACTTGTTCACCATGCAAGGGGCTGCCATAGCCTGGAATGTGAAAAAGCAACCAACCGTAGCCCTTTCATCATGCGGAATTCATGGCACTTTCGCGGGCCATTCAGTGGAAGAATCTGCGTTCGGAGCTAACAGAAGTTGAAGCAATGCCAATCTACTGCGATAATCAGTCGGCAATCAGCATCGCGAACAACGGTTCGTATAATCCAAGAACAAAGCATGTTAGTATTCGCTACCATTTTGTACACGAAGCATTGGAGCAGCAAACAGTGAAGCTCGAATACATCTCGACAGCAAACCAACCTGCTACGCCAAT